GGGGAAAATGATGACATGTCAAATATTAATACACGTGGAAGACAATAAAACCAAAAAAGTGATGACATGGAAAAAATAATAATATAAAAAAATATTATGAAAAATAAAACTTAAAATTTTTTTTTTCTTTTTCCTTAGCTTTCCTTTTCTCTTTCTCCTTCCCTTTCTCTTTCCCCCTTCGAACCCAAGCGTGGCCTGGGTTCAACTTCGGCGGAACCCAAGCGCGGCCTGGGTTTGATGCCCAGCATGCCTGGGTTCGATGAAACCCAGGCGCTGGGTTCGATGAAACCCAGGCGCTGGGTTCCTTAAGACCCAGCCGTGGGTTCCAAAAAAAAAAAAAGAATTTATGTTTTCTTTGTTTAGGTTTTGTTGTTTGATGATATGAGAAATTGATTGATGAAGATGAAGAAGGCAAGGCAACCGTTGGGTTTTTGCAGGTGGATGAAGATGAAGAAGGCATAGGTGCTGGGTTCGAAATCGAACCCAGCAAGCAATCGAACCTAGCATCGAACCCAGAAGCCACTGGGTTCCTACAGGTGCTGGGTTCGATTTCGAACCCAGCAGGCACTGTGTTCAAGCTGGGTTCCTGCAGGTGCTGGGTTTGATTTCGAACCAGCAACTGTTGGATCCATAGATCTGTTGAGTTCCATTTGTTTATCGATTTGTTGTTTGTTGGGTTCTATTTCAAACTCAGCAGTCGTTGGGTCGATGGATCTGTTGAGTTCGATCTATTTATGGATTTGTTATCTGTTGTGTTATCCTCGTATTCTTGCAGGTGCTGGATTCGATTTCAAACCTAGCAAGTGTTGCGTTTTGTTTCCAACCCAACTGCAGTTGGATCGAAGGATCTATTGATTTCTATATGTTGGTTTGTTGTGATTCTCGGATTTAATATTAGGAAATGTTAGGGTTTGCAAAAGGTGAAAGGAAAGGGAGAGGAAGAAGAAAGGGAAAAAAGAAAAACAAAGAAAGAAAAAAAAAAGAAATTTTTTAAGGTAATTTCCTATCATCTCATTTTTTTGCCACGTTGTACATCTTAGGTGTCAAAATGTTTTAACATGTCATCTTTTTCCCCGTCAAGTAACAAGACACGTAGGCAGATATTTAACGGAAGGACTAAATCGGGGTTAAAATGATAAACAGTATGGACCAAATCAGAGATTTTTTTAGTTTAAAAATTAAATCAAAAATCTATACAATAATTCAAAAATCAAAATGAGTTTTAACCTATAAAATAACAACAATTTTTAAAAAAATATAATTTTACCCACCCTAACATAAATTCGTCTCTCCGTCTCGGTCGCTGTCTGAATGAACGCCTTTCCCACCAAGACCTGATAAAACAAGTGCTGGTGGTGATGGGACAATTAAAGTCGGTTGTCACTATTCTCTCGGTAGATGGGTTATATGGGGGAAAACGAAATGACACTTCTAGATGGCAGTCATTATCTGTCAGAAAGAAAAGACAATTAATATTATTCATAATAATTTAATTGAATTGATATTTATTA